TCCTTTTCTGTAGCAGCACCATCATTATGGAATGCTTTGCCAAGTGAAATTAGAAATGCTCAGTCTGTGTCTGTTTTTAAACGTAGATTAAAAACTTTACTCTTTAGAAAAGCCTTTTATAATTAATATTAGCTGTCTTAAGTGTTAATGTTTTAAGTTTTTTCTTGTAGGCGCCTTTGAACAGTAGGATACTGGCGCGGTATAAATCTTTTATTATTATTTATTATTATTATTATTATGACTATTATTCTTGTAATCATTTTTATCATCATTTCGATCATAGTTCAAAATTGGTCCGCAGAAAAGGTCGAATAATTTGTTTTTCCATTCCAATTGGATCTGCACACCAGATATATCTGGCAATAGATTATGGGTTTCCTCCTAATCACCGTCGTTGTTATTTTCATATTTGGACGTTCTTAGTACTACTGTGTTTCTTTTACTTGCGAGTTTAATTTTTTTTTTGTTTTGTTTTCCTTTCTGATTTTTTTTTCCCAAGATCTATTTCAAGTAGTCTTCTTTCACTTCCTCCTCTCTTTTTTACCAATTGAGAATAAATGAAAAATTTTAATTAAGAAAAAAAATGGCTGTGTATTCGTGCTTTGCAGCAGATGCACAACTCAAAAGGTGAACGTGGGCGTAGAAAATGTTTTCTTAAATTTTTTTACCAAGGCTAACAACAAGAAAAATAGCCTTATGTCAAGCGATTTTCAAAAAATTAATACTCTCTATCTTAAATCCTTTTCCATTAAAGATATCAGCTGCACTCGCCAAATTACTCCGCTTGTTTAGCAGTTTTTTTTTTAAATTTTATTTCTGATATGTTCTGGCCATGGAAGACGTTTTTTTTTCCTTTCAAATGTTAAAAGTCGTGAATTAAAAACGTAATAACGATAATAATAATAATAATAATAATAATAATAATAATAAGGGGGAAAAGGTTAAGGAGTCCATGGATGCGCTCCGACTAAGTCTTGTTATTAACGAATTCTCGTAACACATCTACATGAGTGCATGTGAGAGTATGAGAAAGATATTTATTAAGATAGAATTTGACACAAAACGGTTCTCATTTTTTGCCTTCAGTCATGGTATCATACAAACAAGTGTCGAATATTTAAAACTTTTTCTCTTTGTCACACATTTTACCTCGATCACCCGAAGATATCAGTTGTAGCTGCCAATTTACTCCGCTTTTTCAAGTAGTTTTTTCCTTTTCATTTTCAATATATTCATGCCAAAGAGGACGTTGATCTGTACATTTTATTTCTTTAAAGCCGGCAATAAAAATTGGGTTTCACTTCAATCTTATGTAACCTGAATGAGGATTTAAGTTAATTCAAACTTTCTCAGATAAATCGACCTAATTAAGGTGTATTGAACAACCTTCTTTAATCAGAAACTCACTTTACCGTAAGTTCCCCCTAGAATTTAGGGTGACCTCCGTTTTAGAAACATTGAAAATGGCTAAGAGCAATTTTTTAAGAATATAATCTTTAAAGCCTACCTTGTCTCCGGTAACTTTCTTAAAAGTCTCCGCAGGTTCTTTATAATCTTCCGCCGACAAACAGAATCGAACAAGGCGTTTGTATGGCAAAATTGACATTTCATGAGCTATGCACAGCTGTTTAATAGGGAAATAGTCGATTGCGAGCTGAATAATAATTAAGAATTAAGAATTCCTGTCTCACACATACCCTCCGATCAATTAGGCAATAACGTCGTTTAACATTTGTTGAACCTATTCGATTAGGTGACAGTTAGGTTACACTGGGGTAATTTCTTGCAGTTTCCCATAGAAAGGAGCAATAAAGACACTGAAGAATTTTGTATGATTCTGTATTCTTGATTTTGTATTTAAGAGGCGGTAACTTCAGGCGTTTTCTGCATTAAATTAACAGTAACATTCACATGTCTTGGACTGCACACGGAAATTTTGGAATCCACTTCTCTAATGCACTTTAGGAGACATAATAAACTTTACAAAAATACTAAATAAATAAGGAAAATGAGAGAAAAAATAGAGACAAGAAATTCAAAATAAGAACAAGAACAAACAAGCTACTTGAGGACACCACGCGACTTAACTGAAGTGACCTTCGTAATACAGTTCTTTCACAGATGCAAGGCAACCGCGGGGATCACCTCTCGCGTGATCTGCCGCAAGTTTTAGTTCGTGCAATTTATGGTCTTTGAGAAATAAAATCATGTTATTACATGTTAATAATGTACATGAAAAGAGTCTAGGGATAACAGCTCAGCTCCGTGTCTTGTACTCTGATGAGGCACGCTCTTTTAACCAATGACAGCGTGCACTAGATCCGAACTTTGTCATAATTGATCATAGTTCTAGGCAAAAAATTGGCCATTTACCGCGGCCAAAATTTATCCTGCACAATCTTGGCAGGTTTCTATTATTTTGTTACCGTTCACCGAAAAATCGCCTAAATTATCGACATAGGCTTAATTTCTCTCTGTATTCCTCTTTTCTCGTTCTCCACTCCCACTCACCTATAAACTGTTCCCTGTCTCCCTTTCTCTGTTCCCTGTTCTCTGTCCTCTATTCCCTGTTACCTTTTTCCTTTTCCCTTTTCCTGTTCCCCATTCCCCGTTCTCCGCTCCCCGTTCCCTGTTTTCTGCTCCCTGTATTCTGCTCTTTGTTTTCTGTTTCCTTTTCCCTACCATCTGCTCCCTGTTCCCTTCTCCCCGTTCTCTACTTCTCCTCCCTGTTTTCTATTCCCTGTTCCCCGTTCTTTGTTTTCTTTTCTCCGTTCCCTGTTCCCTGTTCTCCGCTCTCTGTTCCCTGTTCCCTGCTTTCTGTTACCTTTTCCCTGTTCCCCGTTCTCTAATAATGTCTTTGAATTGCGCAATAACATTAAAATTGCAATCACAATGTCTAACGTGCCTACATTTATTTCTTTGAGAAAAACGGAATCCAGCGAACCTCTACAAAAGGTGAAGCGAATAAAGGCAAAGCGATAGAAACGAACGGCTTAGACATAATCACGCAGGAAAAAGCGTGAACTCAACTTAAACACACGCAAACTAAACCTAAACTGACGCAGAACTAAACCTATAGTAATGGAAATAATCAAACAAACCCAAATGAAAACAATTCAAAATGAAACCTTACATATGAAACTTACATTCCTTAACGTGATATAATTAATTTAATTTTCCTCCTTTTTGTCCTTCCCTCTTTTTAAAATTTAATGCAGAGGTTCGAGAGTTTAGAGCGCTTCCTATTTAAATTTACCTTCAAAGAACCTTTTTGAATGTTCATGTCTCCCACATCAGTACAATTCAATTTTGTGGGTTAATCTCACGGAGGGGAATGACCTGAACCTGTCTGTGTGACTGACGTTGTTGGTGACATAATATCTTTAAAGCTCGCCTAAAACCTGTCATTCTCATAGTGTACAATATCGGATCTAAAAAACAGTTTGCGTAAAGCAACATGGTTGAACCTTGTCCCAAACGGAAAAGTGCTGTTACAGACAATGACCTTAAAATGTTAGTGGCAAGAAACAGGAAAGCAGTTATATTTAGTTATATTTGCCGCTCCATGGTTTCGAGGCTGATTTCCAAAGCGAAGCTTGACAAAAATAAAAACGTAGAAACACAAATGACCAAAAGACAAATTAAGATGAATGAACCCAAAGTGTAGAAATAATATTCCCATTTGCGTAGTGGTGAATCCTGAATTGTACCTCCAAAAATTACATATTACTCCAACAGTAGAGAAGAGCTCGAGTGAAGAAGGTCCCCCGGAAAACATGTCTGCAACTGCCAAGCTTATCACCAAGTATGTGGATCGTTTACAAAGATTATGGTCTCTACAAAATGCAATCACTATCAAAGAATTCAGTGCTATTATGGCGACAGATTCAGTCAGGTGAAGAAACCATCTGAGAAGCCTTTTTCTGTTCCAAATAATTGAGAAATATTAGGGTATTTCCGGCGATGATTTTAGAAAAGATTAATAACCTATCTTTTATACTGCGAAAGAGACTAGACTGACGTAATTGCAATTTCTCCTCGCTTACGTGCAAAAGACAAACACGATACGTTTCGATGTCAATGAGTTAGGAACGGAACACATCTAACACGTCGCTGAAGGTCATAATTTAAATACAGACAAGCGCAAAAACGTATCGGCCGATTTGAATTGTTATTCACCACGATGAATAACTACAAACTTTTCTACTTAATAAGTAAATAACTAAGCCAATCACATCCTTTTTTTCTGATTTTGTGTAAAGAGCGGTCATGTAGCTCATCTACAAATCCTTTAGCTGTTAACCCTTTGAACTCTAAGATTGACTTACATTTAATTTCTCCTTACAGTATCACCCCTGAATAAAACAAAAAGGTCACGAGAATAAAGCAAATGATCATCAACTTAAGAACCCTTGATTGTTTAACAAATTCTCCTTGTCAAATTGATTTTAGGATGTAAAGCGTTAAGCTATTTTGTAATGACAAACTACTACCAGAATGTTTATTTACACAGTGGGATAATATGAAATTGCACAATATGATTAAAATTGAAGTCACAATGTCTAACGTGCTTATGTTTATTTCTTTGACAAATACGGAATCCAGTGAATCTATACAAGAGATGAAGCGACTCAAGGCAAAGCGATAGAAACGATCAAAGCGAAACAAAGTGATAAAAAAGACTAAAAAAAGCGTGAACTCAACTTAAACACACGCAAACTAAACCTAAGCTGACGCAAACCTAAACCTAAAGTAATGTAGATAATCAAACAAACCCACATGAAAAAAAATTAAAAATGACACCTTACAAACATGAAACGTACAAAGGAACCATGTTTAATAATAATGATCCTTAACGTAATCTGATTAATTCAATTTTCCTCCGTTTTTCTTTTCCTTTTTTTATTTAATGCAGAGATTGGAGAGTTTACAGCACTTCCTATCAAAAACTACTTTCACAGAACCTTTGTGGATGTTAATTTCTCCCACACCAGTTAAATCTAAATTTGGGGGTTAATCTCACGGAGGGGAATGATCTCAACCTCTCTGTGTGGCTGAGGTCGTTGGCGACATAACATCTTTAAAGCTCGCCTAAAACCTGGCATTCTCATTACATACAATATCGGATTTAAAAAACAGTTTGCGTAAACCAAGATGACTGAACCAAGTTCCAAACGGAAAAGGGTTATTTCAGACAACGAACTTAGAATGTTGGTGGCGAAAAACAAAAAAGTAGTTATCACATAAGGCAGCCACAATAGGAGAGAGAGAAAAGTCACAGTGAACAACGTAATGGTCAGTTTCCTTTCCCTATTTGCCGCGCCATGGTGTCGAGGCTGATTCCCAAAGCGAAGCTTGACAAAAATAGAAACGTAAGAAACACAAATGACCACAAGACAAATTGAGATGAATGAACCCCAAGCGTAGTAATAATAGCCCGGTTTATGTGGATAGTAATAACCTATTATTAACGTAAATGTAAATGAAAAGAGTAGTGCTGTCAACCAGATGGCGATGATAACAACCCAGTAGACTGACTTTTTGATCGTACGATGTCTGAAGGGCCAAAACGTTGCATTCAGGCGTTCTAGAGAAATAACAGTCATATTTATAAACGAACAGACGAGAAACCAGAAGAGAAAGACCTGTGGTATCCGATACCAATGCTCTCTTTTGTGTCTCCAGAAGTTACACGTCTCCCCAACATTATAGAAGAGGTCTAGTGGAGAAGTTCCCCCGGTAAACATGTCTGCAACTGCCAAGCTTATCACTAAGTAAGTGGATCGTTTACGAAGACTACGGTCTCTAAAAAATGCAATCACTGTCAAAGAATTCAGAGCTATTATGGTGACAGACTCAGTCAGGCCCACAGCCATCCAGGTTATACACTCCGGTGAAGAAGCCATTCGAGAAGTTTTTTCCTGTTTCAAATAATTGAGACATATTAGGGTATTTCCGGCAATGATATGACAACATTACTGACCTGTCTTTTATACTGCGAGAAAGACTAGACTGACGTAAATCCACATTTTATTTTGGTATCCCTTAAGGCTACAAAGTTTACCTATGGTCTTACATTCCTTCTTCGGTACGTTTTCATATACGTTAGCTACGTCCTTTAAAAAGACCCCTCTCCGATATGAAGACGATCTTTGTTTCCTTAAAGGTCGTGCAGGGCAACTAGTTCCTATAGCTGCTTAAGAAAGCCTTTAAACTCCTTTAAGCTGTTTGAAACAGATTTTGAACACTTTTTACGAGTCACGAATCAGTAAATATTGAGCTCGTCACTTTCCGTTCGCGTAGGCTCATTATTGCAAAAGAAAACTAACATTCTGATCCCAAAGCTCGCCTATTCCTCAATCAAATTAAAATAATTATTTTTCAGTAGTTTCAGTAGTTGACAGGTCTTAATTTTTTTTATATAATATTTTGTTTAATTTTTCAATTTTCGCTAAACTTTTCCGAATTCACAGGCTACTTTGCACACTGTCTCAGGAAGATGCGTGACATGCCGCATAGCCTGTTACCCGTTAACGACGCACCGCAATATATCTCCAACAAACATGACATGCATGAACTAATCAGATATGTCCTAGATCATTTAGATGAATGACAGCTCATTTTGTATGGTTCAAAGGCTCCCAGAGAGAGAATTATGTGAATGAAATTTTCGCACCTTGCTTGTTTTTGTAATTATTCAACGCTTTTTCTCATCTTTAGCCTTATCGCCGACGCAATTTACGACTTTTTCTCGGATGGTGGGTTTTATTTTTTTCATTCATTAATAAAGTCGACTTTACTTGCCGGTAAAGACCTATTGCGTTTAGATGATAAACAAAATAATAATGGTCACTGGTAGATTCGGAAATACTCTACTCGTGTTTAACTCGAAGTCTCACGAGTCTCAGCGCGAACTGGTGAGACGTCCAGCTGAACACGAGAAGAGAAATTCTATGTCTGCTCCCGCCATGTATTATTCACTAATTATCTTGAATTCACAAGTGAAGACTGATAATTTATTCAGAAGGGATGCATAATCGAAAACTAGCGTTGGAAATAAAACGCCCACACTTCAAAGATGTTCCTCTGCCCTTTTTTCTATTTTGCTCGATTTACTATCATTATTAAAGTTGTTATAATAATCATGACTGGTTGCATAGTGATCGATATCATAATCATCATGATTGTTATTCTTGTAAACATGTTTATCATCATTTCTATCATAGTTCAGAATTGGTCCGCAAAAAAGTTCGAATAATTTGTTTTTTCATTTCACCTGGATCTGCCTACCAGATATCAGCACCACTTTATTTCGCATTTTTCATTTACTAATTAGTTTCTAAGCCAGATGCGGATGATGTTGATTTCTGTAAGTTATAACTCCGAAGCTGACAATGGATTCTGGGCTTCATCCAAGTTTCGGTCGTCGTTATTTTCATATTTGAACGTTCTCAGTACTAGTGTGTTTCTTTTATTTGTGCGTTTAATTTTTGTTTTGTTCTCCTTCCTAATTTTTTTTTTGCCAAGATGTACTTAAAGTAGGCTTCTTTCATTTTCTCCTCTCTTTTTTAGCAATTGAGAGTTAATGAAAAAACTGAAGAAAGAAAAAAAAATTGGCTGAGCATTCGTGCTTTGCAGCAGATGCGCATCTTAAAAGGTGACCGTGGGCGTAGATAATGTTTTCTTATAATTGTTTACAAAGGCTAATAACAAGAAAAATCGCCTTATGTCAAGCGATTTTCCAAAAATTAATACTCTATATCTGAAACTCTTTGCCATCCAAGATATACGCTGCACTCGCCAATTTACTCCGCTTGTTTTAGTAGTTTTTTTAAAATTTTAATTTCTGATATATTCCTGATATTTTTTCTTCCAAATGTTAAAAGCCGTAAAATAAATTTAAAAGATAATAATGATAATAATAGGGGGGACAAGATTAAGGAGTCCATGAATAATGCTCTCCGAATAAATCTTGTTATTAACGAATTCTCGTGACACATCTTCATAGGAGCATGTGAAAGTATGAGAAAGATGCTTTTCAAAAAAAAAAAAACTCTACATAGGCTTATAACAATTACAGCATATCAAACGAATTTGACACAAAACGGTTCTCATTTTTTTACTTCAGTCAAGGTATCATACAAACAAGTGTCGAATATCAAAAAAATTTTCTCTTCGTCACACATTTTTTACCTCGATCGCCCGAAGACATCAGTTGTAGCTGTCAATTCAATTCACTTTTCAAGTAGTTTCATTTTTATTTTCGATATATTCATGCCACAGAAGACGCTAATCTGTACATTTTATTTCTTTAAAGCCGGCGATAAAAACTGGGTTACCCTTCAATCTTCTGTCACCTGAGTGAGCTTAGTGCGAACTCGTGAGACATTGAGCTGAAGACTCGTAGAGAAACCCTATGTCTGCACCCGCCATGTATTATTCACAAATTATCTTGAATTCAGAAGTGAAGACTGACAATTTATCCAGATGGGATACAGAATTGATAACAAGCGTTGGAAATAAAACACCAACACTTCAAAGATGTTCCTTTGTCCTTTTGTTTCTATGTCGCATGTTTTGTTATCATTATTATAGTTGTTTTGTAATCAATACCAGTTCCATAGTGAAAGATATCATCGTCATCGTGACTATTATTCTTGTAAACATGTTTATCATCATTGCTATCGTAGTTCAGATTTGGTCCGCAGAAAAGTTCAAATAGTTTGTTTTTCCACTTCACCTGGATCTGCATACCAGATATCAGCACCACTTTATTTCGCATTTTTCATTTACTGATTAGTTTTCTCAGCCAGATGCGGATGTGTTGATTTCCGTAACTCATAACTCTGAAGCTGGCAATGGATTATGGGCTTCCTCCAAGTCTCAGTCGTCGTTATTTTCATATTTGAACGTTGTCAGTACTAGCGCGTTTCTTTTACTTGTGCGTTAATTTTTGTTTTTGTTTTGTTCTCCTTTCTAATTTTTTTTTTTTTGGAAAAATGTATTTGAAGTAGTCTTCTTTCACTTTTCCCTTTCTCTTTTACCAATTTAGAGCAAATGATAAAACTAAAATAGAAAGAAAAAAAGGCTATTCATTTTTGCTTTCCACCAGATGCCCATCTCCATAGGTGAACGTAGGCGTAAAAAAAATGTTTTTTTATTTATTTTTATTTTTTACAAAGGCTAATAACAAGAAAAGCATATCAAAATAATTTTTTTTACCAAACGGTTATCATCCATCGCCTTAAAGTCAAGCGAGTTTCGAAAACTGACACTCTATATCTGAAACTCTTTTCCATCCAAGATATCTGCTGCATTCGCCAATTTAATCCGCTTGTTTAGTAGTTTTTCTTTTTCATTTCTTAGATATCCCTGCCACGAAAGACGTTTTTTTTATTCTTTCAAATTATAAGAGTCTTGAATAAAATTTAAAAAATAAGGAGGGAAAATGTTAGGAGTCCATGAATTCTCTCCGAATAAGTCTTGTTAGTACCGAATTCTCGTGACACATTCTCATTGGAGCATGTGGGAGTATGAAAAAGATGTATGCTAAAAAACATAGGCTAATAACAAGTAGAGCATATCAAACGAATTTGACACAAAACGGTTATCATTTGTTGCCTTCAGTCGTGGTATCATACAAACAGGTGTCGAATATCTGAACCTATTTCTCTTTGACACACGTTTTACTTCGATCGGCCGAAGATATCAGCTGTAGCTGCCAATTCAGTCCGCTTTTTCGAGTAGTTTTCCTTTTCATTTTTACATCCCTCCTTCGGTATGTTTTCGTAAATGTTAGCTACGTCCTTTTAAAAAACCCCTCTCCGATATGAAGACGACCTTTGTTTCTCTTCTGGTCGTGCACGACAACTAGTACCTATAGCTGCTTAAGACAGCTATCAAACTTCTTTAGGCTGTTTCAAAGAGATTTTGAACACGTTTTACGATTCACGAATCAGTGAATATTGAACTCGTAACTTTCCGTTCGCGAAGGCTCATT